AAATTACACCTAATTAGGTTTTAAGGTCGACAATTTTTATCATTAGAAGGTTAAGCTATTTATGCGCAAATATTACAGCAATCAAAAAGCATATTTTAATTCTTGTGCTAATAATGGTAGCGCAGGCGTCAATATTTATCTATTGCCAAAAATAAGCTGATATAATATCACTATACCTAGTCCCAGGCGTTTGGTTCTAAATACTTTTGGTACATCAATTGCCAAGGTATTCAAAAACTTTGATTTGTTAGTAATAAGTGTTTATTTACGTGGCCTATTCAGCTATTCACTTTTAATATATATTTTTTATCTTCAATTTACGAAAGTTGTTATACAGAGACTATATCTAAAATTATTTAGTAAACTGTAAAAGCACATTTTTTTATGTAACATTCGCTTTTTACTATAAACGATTATGTAGGCAAGAACTAAAGTATTTTAAAATATCTAATGGAGAATCTGAAGTTAAAAAAGTAACTTTGGATTAATCGTAGTATGGGCCAAAAAAATAAAAAGGCCAAGAAACTAAAGCGCTTTTAATTACTAATGGATTAATGATTCAAAAATGTGTCGAAGCCAGTAATGTAAATAAATGTTGCAAATGTGCCAGGACATATTTTTGAAAGTGATTCGTTTCATTGATCTGGCGGAAAACAAGACTTTTCAAATCCGAATTAATATTTGATAGCGGACTTTTAGACAACTCTGCTTGAGGAAGGAGTCAGGTGAATCGAGAAGCTCGATTCCGACCTCAGTTAGTCCCAAGCCTGGATAAATGAGGAGAGTTCTGGGGCCACGCTAGCAACAAACTTCAGGTAAAAATATAGAATCGATCACAGAATCAACACACATGCCTCGGAAAACGGACGGATTCAACGGAACGAGACGGTGCAGCTACGCAAGAAACGAGAATGGAAGACGAACATATTAAGAGTGGGATGTTGGAACATCAGCTTGGAATTATACAGGGTTATTCACGCTATACGGCACGGACGTTTGCGGCTAGCCCGTTCGTTTTTTGCAAAGTATTATTTGATGAACCCACAGACGCCTATCGGGTGCACTTTTTAAAAATATTTTTGTAATGTACAGAGTGTCCCAAAAGCCCTAAACGTATCAAAATTGTGTTTTTCTAAATTAAATATCCTACATATTATTGCATTTTTTGATTCTCTGAGCAAAATAAGTGTTTGTTTTAATAAGATTTATAATGTCTAAATCTAAAGGTTTTTTAAATATAATTCGAATTTTATCAAAATCTAATATTATTTTCATGTGTCAAATACTTTAGAATTATTTAAGTTATGTAAACATAATTCGTAGTTTGGTGTAACAAGAAATCATATTTTATATCCCAATGATAATAAACTTACCATTTTATACAGGGTGTCCACAAATTTAAACTAATCAAATAAGAACTTTAAGTGGCTATAACTTGATTAATTTAAATACAACCCCATATTTTTTAGCTTACCAGCAAATGCAATTTTTAATTACCTATCGAATGGTACTAGGATGTTGATAACTAAGTTTTTGCCTTTTTACAAAATACACCAAATAATGGAATTGTGCACCATTTGGTGTTTTTTTTTTTAAATTAAAAGGTTAAATAAGATATACCGTCGATGACCGAAGGTATAGGTAAAAGATTTCATTAAGACGCGTCAAATCAAAAATGGTGAACTCATTCTAGGAACTTGCAGTCAATTTGAGCTACGAATAAATAACATATTCTTTCACCACAACACTCAACACAAGATAACATGGTTCACCTCTATAGAGCAACAGTCCACTATCGACTACACCATAACCAATAGGTCCACTCAACCAACGCAGACCCTGGATGTACGATCACCTGCCACTCCGGACATCGTAGGTCGACACAGAATGGTGCTATGTATGGTGAAACTAGAAAAAATTCGTCCAAAATGCAGCATAGAATACTTCTGCAACGACAGCACCAAGGACTTATACAAATTACAGCTAAAAAAGAATAACACCAAATTCAATAACAGCGGAGATTACAATCGATATAGTCTGGTGCTAAATCAACATTTATATCATAACAACGGCAGAAAAAGCGATTAGCAAAATAAAGGTAAGCGTGAACGCAAAAGCCAACAAACCATGGTTAACTCCAGAAACAACACAAATAAAAAAATACTATTGAATACTACTATAACAAACCGCAAACCGACAACTACATCATAAACACAACAGAGATCAAACCAAAATCAATAAATTTAAGAACAGAAAATCACCAGGCCCAGATAAAATAACAAACGAAATGTTCAAATATGGAGGCGATGAACCGGTTATAGGACTTTCAAACCTTTACAGTATGATTATCTCCAGAGGAGAAGTACCCAGGAATGGAAATCATTACAATCATTATCTACAAGAAGAGAAAAAACAATAGCCCAAAAAACTATCGATGCATAAACCTGCTCAAAACCGCCATGAAGCTACTCACGAAACTAATAAACCAACATCTGCCAAGTAGGTACAGTCGGCATCAGCGAAGAACAACAATCGACAAAATATTCACAATACGACAAATCATCAAGAAGTCCATAGAATTTAACACATCGGCGTTTCTTTGTTTTGCTGACCTAACTCAAGCATTTGACATAGTGCAACTAAAGGATGTGCTGAATTGATTCATTGCTGATGGATGAAGCCAATACCAACATAATCCAGGTAAGAAAACAACTCAATACCAACAACAGTACCAGAATAAAGTCAGACACCTCAGCCACAGAGGCAATGCAGATATCGATAGGTATCAGGCAAGGAGACCTAATTCCGATACTCTTCAACCTAGTAATGCATCGCATTATAAAACGGGCCAAGAGTGTAGGACGAGTCTACAGATTACAGAATGGGACAAATCGAATTTAAAATATTGTGCTATGCAGACGATGCGGTTCTCATGGCAGAAAATGACAGCAACCTGCAGCGAATGCTATTCGAGCCAAACGAGGCCGCAACAAAATATAACATGAGAATTTCGATACCGAAAACCAAATCTATGAGCATAAGCAAGGAACCGATACGATGCAAGCTGCCACTAAACAACCAACCAATCGAAAAAGTTATAATGAGCTTTGAATACCTGGGGATAATAGCTTCCAGCATCCAAAATACATATGGCGAGGTGAAAACACTAGGAAACAAAGCAGCTAGAGTATCTGGCTATCTCCATAATACTAGCTGTAAAAACAAACACATGCCGATAACCAGCAAGGCAAGGATGTTCAGAACAGCAGTAAAGCCCATCCTCATCTACGCAGCGGAAACGAGAGCAGACACCAACCGGACGAAAAGAGCACTACGAGCGAGCTAAATGAGGGCCTACGAGCGATCGTAGGCGTCACACTGAGAGACAGGAGACGAAGCAATATGCCGGATGTTATTAGTTGGTCACGACGAAGAAGAAGAGAGTGGAGAGAGCGTGTCGACAGGATGGGAAACGATAGACTCGCCATGGCCGCATACGGAGAAACCGAACACGACCAGACCCTTAGGAAGATCACCAAAAAGATGGCATGACTCCGAGATTTCATCGTTAAAGTACACAGGTCGAATTAAAACTTGGAAAAAACAGGACACAGACCTATCAAAAGGAAGAAATAGAAGAACTTTTAGACTAAAATAGCTGTGAGTTTTAACTACATAAATGTAATTAGTAATGATCATTTCATACATGCAAATATTGAAGTTAAAATCATTAATGAACATACACATTACATCATTAAAAACAGCAAAAAAATGATGCAGTTTAGAGTTAGAATTACTACATCTAAATCATGTGGTAAATGATGTACTTCGGACAAATATTCAATATTTTATATTAATGCACATTTGACATTGTTTTAGAATAGGGTTTGTTGCTTTCTAAAGAAACATCTCTTCATCATCACAAAAAGTCTCATTCAAGGCACGGCAGTTTTATTTCTGGCAGCTAATCAAACACACAGTCTCCTCCACAGCTAACTTAGGAGGGGTACTAAAACGCGAAGCATTTCGAGTGTATAAACTATTCATCCTCAGGGGCTAGCATATACATTGTTAATTGGCAAAGCATGCAAATTGGGGAAAGTCTATCATTAGAGGTAGGGGTTAGAACTGGCTGTCTTTCTTCACAAGAAAACAGATAAAATGTAGAACTGTTTTATTTTATATGAGGAGAAGCGTCTAAAAAACAAGAAAAAAACACATTTATCACACAACACGAATAAGGCAAAAATTGTAATACCAATTAGAGGTTATAGAGTTCAACATTGAACATCACTTTGAATCTAATATAATTACCATTCTGACTAGAAATGAATCTTTCATGATCATAGAAAGTTCTTGGAGATGTCGGGCCACAAAGCAGTTTGTGGGACATCCACAATCAATACGCAAAAAAAAACTGATAGCACTTAACAGACAACAGAGTGTGGCTTTCACAATTGGACACGCCCCTCCAGAATATGTATTTTTATGAAACAATTTTACATACTATGTGATAAAACCGTACCAAAAAAAGTCGTGCCTGACCCCCTCTGGAATTTATAAAATTTTGTAGAACATACGCGGGCACAATAGAACGTCCTAAACATCATTTATCACAAAAAAAACGTGTATTTCGATTAATGGAAATTATTATTGGTGTAATTGTAAATCTGAGATAGAGGATTTAAAAGTATTAGTGAATTTAAGCAAAACTAGAATACCCCATAGTTATGACTTCCTTGAAACTTGAATGATGGCTTTATGAAACTACAAAACGCTGAACCCATTTCACCGCTTCTCGATCTGTTTTAGTTTAGAAGGTATCGTCATGGATCGCAAAAAAGTTGAAAATTTTAATTTCCAGACTTATACTTATACGATTACTTATACCATTGCTTATATGATTTCCTGCCTAAATTACTATTAAAATTAAACTTACATTAAATGGTGCCTTTGTTCAAGGAATATATATGATTACAGTATGATTTATTAAAACTTACCTTTATTAGCATAGAGTTGAATGTATGGTAGCCCCGACAATCTACAAAAAAGAACGTAAAATTAATAGAACAAACAAACCATTTGGCTAAATGGTACAATGTTTCATGGGTTAATTATTTAGGACATTAGAACTGTAGAAAAATGTAAAACTAATGCTCAATATCCGGCGTACTTTATGAAATCGCTTGCAAAACTACAACTTTTGTAGAACATTCTACCGTTTGCATCGTTTTTGGTCAAATTACTAGTTCGTAATATAATTCCAATACATGAATAATAAATATCGTCCGAAAAATCTTTAATTGAACGGGCAATATTATGTGGTCTATTTTAACTTACATTAACATTTTTAGAACAGAAATTAGTCTGCCATCCAGAAAAATGATAATACTGTCATACTATAACAATGGCTCAAAGTCTCCAAAGCGTAACATTAAGAAAACTTATTTTAAACGTTGTATACAATTATCTGCCGTATCGTGGAAACAGAAATAAGAATATTAAACACTTATTTTTCGCAATAAAACGAATTACAAAGTCCCCTTGGAAGTCCAAATCACTTACTGAAAATGCATAAATGTATGTACTTGACTATTGCTAAAACACGCACAACTTCTTAGCATATACAGCATTAAAACAGTGTAGTTTAATACTGTCTTTTATATTTTAAACTGAATAAGTTCTCCCAGAACGAACAAATCCTGTTGTTGACACGCACATTAGCTGGGTAAACGTAAACACGGCAATAAAATGCAGGGGTTCCAACTCTTGAAAGGTTTTACGAGACGACTTCCGTTCCATTGCCTTGTGGAATTCAATTGAGCATAAAAGCTACTTGAATGGAATTCAGAGCTTTGCGAAGAGCTATTTTCCAGCAGAAATTTAAAATAAAAATTTCCTAATATCCGTAGTATTATAAGTATTTATAAGTTATATCAATTCATTCACTGAATTTATTCGGCCGCTTTTATATTCAGAATTTGCAGTAGGTACTATTCGGGTGCTAGTTTTCTGTGCAGAAATTTCCACTAAATTACCATGGAATTAGACAAACAATATACTTTAGTCGGTTTTAAGTTAAATATCAATATAAGGTCAACGGATAAAAAATTATTCGAATTTATTTCAGCAATATCAGCTTTGCAATTTCTGTTGCACGTAAAAATTTAGTTTGGTATGAGCAAATGCTCCAAATTTCTTAAATTATTTTCAAGAAAAACTGTGAATTTTTTGCACTTTATTCCTTTTCATTACGAGTATTATTTATTCAAAGAAAGCCCAGCTTCGATAAATCATTTAATTTCTATTAAGTAAATACTTGTTGCATCCCTCTAAAGTGGTTTAAATATATAGATCCTTTGGAAACTTGCAATGGAGTTGAATAAGGCAGGAAGAAGGGAGGAAATAAGGAAAAGGGAGGAAGGAAAACGTTTGTATAATAATTAAAGGAAACCACATTTATGCCCCAGCTATCCTGCCCGCATCTCTGTAGTCCTCAAATCAGACTTAAAGAAAAATTTGTTAATAACGACCAGAAATTAAACAAATTCACCAAAAATGGGTTAAATGGAACTTATTTTTTATTTAATTTATTAAATTAGTCTGAATTTGAACAATCAAATTCCAAATTTGTTCTCCATTGATTGGATGTTCAATGTTTCGTTGTTTTCACCAAATTTAACAAGTCTGACTCTCGATGTGTTTTTGGTCAATTTTGAACTGTTTGGGCTTCGTTATTGGACAGGATTTGTCTGGTACTATTGGGGGTGGTGATTGTGTTAATTTATTGACGACCGCCCTGTTATGACGTGATTGTTAAAAGCGTTGGTGCTTATTTTCCATTGAAATTATTTCAGCTCCTTGAGTTATATACTCATAATACGAGGCAGTTTCATTGAAAGTTGAAGAAGTTTCAACCGTCATTGATTCAACGAATTAAAATTGCATTAACTTTAATAAGAACTTTCTGACGATGACCCAGACAAGATCAGATATTTTGTAAATCTGTGACGCATAAAATTATTCGTTGAATATTAATTCATTATTTAATAAATATTTATAATAAAATTTTCAATATTCATTCGGTACAGTGGTAATTATTCCCGTCTCTGTGGCGGGAGACCCAGTCGAAGTCCAGGTTGACTTGAGGAGCGTGCAATTGTTATATCTGAGGAACCAGTTTATGTTCCTTAATAAAGCAGTTGCAACTTTCTAAATTGTAACCTTGTATATTCTCACTTAAAACGTGCTACATGCTTTTAGCATTTATATGGTTTTAATTTTACACAAGTTTGAAACTGTTAGCTTAACATCATGTTAATTTTTTAAAATGATGAATCCATTTTTTTTTATTTGAGACGAATCTACGTAGTTACCTCAACAAATATTGATCGTTTTTATGAACTTGGTGTGAATAAATATTTGTTCGATAAGCAGGAAGTCTAGAATATAGTTAAATCTCTATTCATGTTTACCGACAGAAGCAAGCAGATTTTATTCAAGATGGTGTAAATATAACGCCTGGTAAATACAATTTTGAAAATCATGCCTAATATATATTTACCAATAAAAAAAACTTGAAATGCAAAATAAATGTGCTTTTATTGCAAATGTGAAAAATAATGCTACAATTCGACACATTCCTGGGTAATTTGTATTTTAGAATTTATTTATTTTGTAAACATGATTTTGAATAGAATTTAAATTATATCGATTGCGTTCGAAAATATCAGTCAGAAAGTGCAAAAACCTATTTTTATTAAAATTTCCTGTTTGCTTTTTTACTGATTATTAGACAGTTATCTCCGTTTTCTTGATCATTCATGTATTTCTATTATTATTCAGGTAAAACCTCGTCACTTGGGAGTTTTTGCATAGTACGGACAGTAACTTTATGTCTCTGAAAGCAATATTTCAAAGACACTTTAAACTGTATACATGTATATGTGATAATCATGTTTTTAAGGAAACTGATTGTAATAAATTTCTAGTGAATTTCGTGATTATTTGGCTATCAGACACTGACAGTTTTTTAGAGGCATTTTAGATTTCCATGATATTTCTTAACACTTTAATGTAAAGGCTCTAAAATCGTGCACAATCGCAATCAGGATACCTTGCGTGCAAGACTATTCATCAGAAGAACTAAAACCCCTGACCAGGGGCTCAGAAACCACACACTGTCCAAAAACCGCCTTGCAACATATCTCATATCCCAGCTCGTGGAAGTCACAGCACGACTGCTTATAGCAAAACCATTTGTAGGATTCTTTGCAGGAACAATCAAAACGCAAGAAATGTTAAAACGGGCTGACCCAAATTCAATCAATATTGGTTACTATCTCAAAAACAGTTGATAATCAATATGGAACGTTTCTATCGAATAGGCCTAGAATTTTACGAATATCACGAATATCTCGAATATGCAATAAAAAGTACGGCATTCAATTTAAAAAAATTTGGTCTGTCACTTGAATTTGAGACACACTGTATCAATTATTACTATCTTAAAATAAACTACACGTTAATATCTGCAACTTTCGCATTTAACATTTTTCTCTACTTTTGAAATTCGATGTTAAAGCGTGGTGGCCAAAGTTCAATCAATAACCCTGTACATGAGAAATACAACAAGCAAACATCATGTGTCTTTAAACAAATTCAGATAAATCTATGTTATTTAGTACACTTATTTTGATATTACCTGAAATACCTGTATAAACAATACACAACCATATCTGGAAACTAAAGGTAGTAACTTGAAAATATTTTTCGGCATTAATATGTCCATTTTACTCTAATTTAACGAACTTAGAAGCACTACGGTGTTACTACGTCAAATGTTTACAAAATTAAAATGTTTTCGCCCTATATATATATACCGGGTGGACCATTTTAAAAGATCCAATCATATATTACGTAAATGGTAGCAATAAAAAGCCCATATGTACTTTAATACTTTTGCACTTAGAATTAAATGCTGAATCCGCTTTCTCAGTAAAAAATATACCAATACACAAAAGAAATCAATTTGTCCTCCATTTGAACGCCATCTGGAGCTATGCATCATAAAGGAGCTATTATTAAATAAAAAAAAACAAATCTTACTTAAAGCCGAAACATGTAAGTAGGACTACGGATAAATAAAAGTGAATACTAATTTTGATTGCGGTGATTGCCGGGCGTGATTCTCGAGAATATTCCGTAAAAGCCTGTCGCTTCATGTATAATTAACAAAGTTTGCAAGTGAAAATAGAAGGCATAATTAGGAAATAGCATCGGTGCAGATCATTTTGCTGATATAACTGCAAATTAACTACTCTTATCAGCTTGCTAACGTTTCAAAAGCAATTATATCTATAAATATCTGTTCAAAATTTAAATATTCAGTACCTACACATGTTTTGTCCATATTTGCCCATAACTAAACACATGGCCTTATACACGTATTAACGCAATAAATTCCTTATCGATATCTAATTCTACTGTATATATGTAGTTATAATACGTAAATACAGGATGGATTTTGGTAAAACCCTTTCGGTTAAATAAATAGCAGTTTGTTCTACAGATTCATTTAAGAAAAATATCAGTAAAACATTAAAATTATTTTCGTGGATTCAGTGTACCAACAAAAGTAAATCTGAAATGCAGATTTCGAGGTGAGCCAGCCTCAGGCACCCCCAGGACCAGTTTCGAGCCTATTAACTCTTACCAGCTGGGCTTAGCCTGAAATTAGCGATGCCGAAACTTGCACTTCATGTTGCCAATGTATTTACATCGGCGTGGAAACTACTTGCTGTATAATATATTGGCACGATAAAGTACAAATACCGGGACCGCTAATTTCAGGCTAAGCCCAGCTGATGGGAGCGAACAGGCTCGAAACCGATCCTGGGGGTGCCTGAGGTTGTCTCACCTAATGTAATGGTCAACACTATGGCAAGCGTCGATCATGCAAATTACTCAGCATCATTCAATGTAGCTGTGATGATTATTTTGGGTTGATCGAAAATAAACTACTTCAATGCATGATTTTGC